AACTTCTCGCCGGTATTATACTCCGTCGATTGTCTGCCGCACGTGAACGGCGCACGCGTGAGAACCAGACTGGCTTTAGACCTGGTCGAAGTCTTATCGACCACATCTCCACTCTTTGCCAAACTCTGGAGCATCGACATTCCTTTCATAGACCCACCATCTCTGTCTTCCTCGATCTGAAAGCGGCTTTCGACTCAGTCGACTGCTCTAAACTCTGGCGCTGCTTTTCTCTGAAAAGTGTGCCCGATAAGTTTATTTCAGTATTACAATCCCTTTATACAAATAGCCGAAGTCGAGTCCGAGCTTACGGCACGTTTTCACCCGAGTTCACCACAGAAAGTGGCGTTCGTCGGGGTTTTCCTTCCTCTCCTTTTTATTTAACTTTGTTATCCTCGTGGAGGGGATAGCGGTATCGATTTACTTCCGGGTGGCAGACTGTCTGATCTAGAGTATGCAGACGATATTGTGCTACTAAATGAAGATAAAAGTAATTTGCAAGCTTTTCGGGATAGCTTGAGCGCCAGCGTTGCCATGTTCGGTATGCGTTTTGCACCTTCAAAGTGTTACTTCAAGACGGTTGATCCTGCACCCAGCCTCTTCCTAACTGGGGAAGTAATAGAGCAAGTGGATAAGTTTTGTTACTTGGGCAGCTACATCTCACCCGGTGGACGCATCACGGACGACGTGTCAGCTCGCATACAGAAGGCTCGGTTGGCATTTGCCAACTTGAGGCATCTGTGGCGCCGTCGCGATATCTGGTTGTCTGTGAAGGGTTGAGTGTCTGCCGCGACAGTTCGGCTAGTGCTGCTCTATGGTGCAGGGCCTTGGCCACTACGGGAGCATGATAAAAATAGATACAGCTATCTACGTCGCATTGCACGAGTCCAGTGGACGAGCATTGTTGAGGTTAGACGTAGGGTTTTCAGTTTCGATTTCTACGACCATTAACCGTGCACTATCGTGCGCCGGTTTTGGTTTCTGTCTTTTGGCTGCCCATTTGGATGAAGAATGGGAGAAAGACACTATATAGTTGAAAGTAAAGTGGAATACAAAATGCAGAATTTCAGTGGACTAATGTTGCAGAGAAATTGAGAAGATGCACGAACGCCACTGTTTACGACACTAAGCCGTATTAACCACGTCAGCGCTGTCCACAGATGTGTAGTTTTTGTGCAGAGAACTCTTTCCACGTGGTAAACCCATTTCATTCGCGAGCATTGCCACTGATCTTTCGAAACCGCTCATTCAGTGAACGTAAACTCACCTTATTCACGGTTAACCTAGGGCTAGTGTCCGTTCCCCTATACGTTACCTGGGGACAGTGGCACTCGTGCATCCACTCATTATTCCTCTAACACCATTCTTTATGAATTCTCCATCTTCCGCTTGAACTTGCTTTCAACATTCCAATCTTCATCCCGCTCTTTTATCCAAATGGGGCACCAAATGACAGCAACCAAAACCGGCCCACGAAAGTTCATGGTAATGGTGGTAAAAACTGAAACTGACCTGAGGACGCGCTTGGTAGTATGCCGCTTTGCTGAAATGGCCTTTCATTAAGCAAAACCA